TATTATAGTTATTTTATAATTAATAAAATAATTAATATTTATTAATTAATAAATTAAAATTAATAAATAAATTGATATTTTTTGTTTAAAAAAATCAAAATTTTAAAAGTCTTAATAATATTAATGATAGTAATAACTACATCATTTACTTGCCCATTTAGATCAATTCTAAGTCTCTCGTACTTTAGCTATTACAACTATTCCATACTGCTAAGTCTCTCATACCATAGCTATTATAACTATTTCATGCCTCTTTATTTTCTTAGTGGTCGGGCAAATGATACCAAGTGAATACCTCCTCTACGCATCGCGGCTCCTCATTGGTCCACATGGTCTTGTGGACTAGCTAGCCTAGATAAAGCTAACCACCTAGGGTCGGTTGAAGGAAAGGTCTTGTGAAATATGTAGTTGAGCTCTACCTTACAGAGCTCCTAGGTTCTTAACCAAAGAGCTATCTTAGATATGACCAACGAAGTTACTTAAGCTATTGTAGATATAACTATGATTTAACTAAGGTTAGGATAGAGACAAAGTATAACAAACAAAGGGCCCATTCTGTGTCAGGTGCTATACGCACAAAAGATCACTACCTATGCTAGCCTCAATATGTTATAAGACGTTAGCCTCAACCTCCTTGTGTCCTACGCTTCTGTGTACTAACCATACAGCTACTGCACCCACCATTGATACTATCTTGCCAGGTAAGGAACCTACGATGAACATAAATTGGTAGGTCCGCCCACTATAAAACAAATTGGCAAAATGAACCATAAAAGGCATCCTCAACACTATTTCAAGTAATCTTTTGAATCCCCCTTCTTCTCTAACCATTTCTTTCTTCTACCTCCACCCTCACCAAAATCTTGTCTGGCTTAAGCATTGCAGGGCGTATGCTAAAGAGACTTTCAACGCCTACTATATCTAGTTTTTCATTTTTACCACACACAGGTAACACAAGTACTTAAAACCTCTTATATCTATTTCCAGGCAACAAATCTATGATTATCACAACTCATATGTTCAACTTCAACTATAAATACAAGGTTTGAGACCAATTGAAGCACTGCTAACCATGTCATCGAAACTAAGATATTTATCTATATTTTTTTTCAGTACATTAGAAACTAAATGTTTGGTGTTGCAAAGACATTTATTTACATTTATGTTATCTTTGTTCCCTTCTCTAGCTAGCTCTCTTCACAATTTCCATATTGTTACTTTAGTTTGTTAGGTAAGCGATTCAACTTTTCCTTTGGTCATTTACCTAGGGGTTATTTAAACTAACTATTTAGGTGAAACTGATAGTTAATTGAGAATATTTTATAATTAATAATCATTATTATTTATAATTTAAAATATTTAATATGTTTAATTAGATTCAATAATGGATAATTGTTTGTAAACTCCCAAACCAAAACCTCCTTAATCACCTTTAATCTATTTTATTTATTACAACTCAAATCTTTCCGTGATATATTTTCATGATAATATATGAATGATGATTTTAAATTATTTTTATCAAATAAAATTACTTAATAAAATTTATATAATAAAAAAAATTTCAATTATTATTCATATATTATAAAAAAAATATTATCTAAAAATATGACAAAAACTATAAAATGAACCAAAGTTAGTATAAGATAAGATATATATGTCTCTTTTCTGAATAAGTACAAATTTAAGAAAGAAGAATTTGAATTCAGCACTTAAGTTTGGAAGTGCACCTTTTACAAAAACTTATAATCAATTAGCCGTCTAAACCAAGTGCAGATAAAATATGCCTCTCTAGTAGTTCGTTACATAGATAAGTCACTTCTAGAGTCCACCTTTTGTAAGCCATTACTTTTCAAAAAGTCTACTTTGATATATGCATTTCAATTTTTTTGCAAATCAATCTAGTTAATGTTCATTTTGACGTGGTTTATTTTTTCACGGCTCGTATAATTTTCATTTTTGCATTTAGATTCTTTTAAGTATTCTCAGTAACTTTAAATTCTGCGAAGCAGCATATTTTGTCTGCCAATTTACTTGCCTTGTCTGCAAGTTTATTTTGATTTATATATATATATATATATTGTTGCTTTGAGTTGAATTAATTTACTTTATTTTGGGTTTATTATTATGGTTAATTAAGTCCTTACGACCATAAATG